TCGCGCTGATCTCGGTCCTCAATAATACGGCGCTCAACCTTGAGGTCCCTCTCTCTTTCTCTGTAGTCGCGATAATCATCGCGACGCTCGTCTTTGTGGACATCCACCTTCTTCTCTTTGATCTGGACATCGCCGTCGGAGTCGCGTTTTACGATGCGCTTTTCGTAGAGTACGTCTTTCTCGCGGTCGTCAGAGGGATGTCTGCGTTCCCAATAATAATCTCTAGGCGATGTAGCCTCCCTTGTCTCTTCGACAACGCGCGTATAAGAGCCTCTATCCCTATCCGGTGTATAGTAATCGCGGTCCCTCTCGACCTCGCGCTCGTACTCTACCGTTCGGATGCGTTCGCCATCGCCACTGCGGTAATGGACAGGGGGCTCGAAGGCAGATCGTGGACGGTCGGGATAGATGCGCTCGCTGCGACGGTCGACCTCGATAGCTTCTGCAGATAAGCGACCGGCGTGTGAGGGTGAGTCGTCTTCGAACCGCTCGATGCGCTCAAGTCTTGTGCCGCCACCACTTCGTCCGACCTTGTAGCGGCGGACAGTAGTGGTGGTGTGTTTGTCATCGTCGTCATCGGAGCTCAGACGCTCACGCGTGTAGCGCACATCACGCTCCCGGTAGACTGACATTCTACCTATGTACTCAATAGACTTTGCAGAGAATGCAGTACAAGTTAGAGAGTAAAAGTGCTGTATGTGACGTCACGAATACTTAGACTTATAAACAGACACAAGCACTAGGTTCAGCGAAAGAGTGAAACTAATCTTGTAATGTCAAAATTTAGGTTGTCTTGCTAATAATACCATGACGATTTTGGCTGAATGAAGAAGACAAGGTAAACAGACGGTGGTAGTATTTAATTAATCGAGAAGAAGTTGAGGGAGAGGGAAGAGTTGGAAAGTGGAAGTAGACATCGGGGGCCAGTTCTGCAATAATTACTGCCCACCTCATTATTAGTCCCTCATGGCTGGCTGCTATCAGGGCGGACGTGCAGGAAGAGCGACCGGCTGGCTGGCTGTGTGGTCCGATGACAATGATGCAGACCCCTCCGTTCTCTCATGTTCAACCCCGGTACATAGTAGGCCCATGAGGGGTTCTCAGTCAAGTACCCGACACTTCCCGTGCTTAGCCCCATACATTGGATTCATTCCGAAGTATCAGCAATGTCCAGGTATCTAGTAGTTCACGGACAAGGGGAAGCAAGTACATTTACACCGTTTGCTCATAATCATGCCCAGAGTGACCTGTTCAACTCGTCTTTGTTTTAATTCATGAATTCTTCACCAATACGCATGACCTTCGATAAGTGAGACATGCTTGCCGCCAACATCAAATCATCCGTAAAAACAGCAACAATGTGATTATCTTATCTTCTTTTCATTGTCAAATCCTTTTGTTACAGCAGGTCAACTACAACCTCCCGTAGATAACATGTATCCAAAATCTGCCAAGGAAATAGGAGACAGCTACTTGCCTACATTCCAGTGATGCAAGTTGCCGCATTAAGAAATCAGGCTACCACGGCTATTACATACATCAGTCATCTGTGTGACTGTCTCTCTCCTCTGAAAAATTTCTTCTCATAAAATCCCATAGAGCCGGGTGACCACTGGGCTGACCCATCTTCGCCATCTATGGGCACAACGGAGGCTGTGCTATATGTGTTGTGAGCACTCTTCTAGCCCTATGGAGATGCCGAAGACCACGATACTAGTAGGGTCCAAGATTCACTTCAATAATCGTATTCCTGCAATATCGATCCACAATGCTACGTACTGCTGCATCCTGCTGTAGGACTCTATACGGCCTACTCCGGACGTACCCAGTCACATCACACAGGCTATGCAAAGTAGGAGCAAGTGGAGATTGATTCTAGCCACGCCCAATGAAGCATTGCCCTCCTCGTGGAAGGCCTCAGGTATTCAGTTATACACTCTCTTAGTGAGGCTCTGTCTGACAGAAGCTGGGGTGCTGTGAGCCTCGTGAGATGCCTTGCTTCCATCCATTATACATCTGTCTCTCGCTTAACTTCTGCTTCATGCTATTCGCGCGCTTTTTGCATTTCGCTCTTTATCACGGCATTGCGCTTATCCGAGAAGCGTGGAGCTTATAGTCCTATAGAGAACCTATTGGAATTTTCAGCTCCAGAACACTGATCTTGGTTCAAAAGCGAAGATAACTAAATTTCTTCGTAGTTGACTAACCATGACATGCCACTAATTCTCACGGAGCATATTCCAGATCACTTCACTCTTCAGCTGAAGCTAACCGCAGGGAGCTGTCTTTGCGCTTACCGTGTCCAAGGTCTATCAATCCTGTTCTTGGAACTTAACAAAAACACATGTCGGAAGAATAAGGCAACATGCTCTTTTGAAGACCAGACAGTTCTTACGTGAGCCAGACTTGCCAGACTTACCATTACCTAATTGCCAACTGCTCCTATGCGGTGTACAAAAGAAGCTTATTCTAGCATGAGATGATTGTGCCCAACTATTAGTCACATCTATCAAGGGGTCTTTACATCATTATGATGATTCGGCGGAGGAGTCGAGTATGACTTCAACGAATGGGGAACGCAGTGTCCATTCGATAATATCCAATCGCATCTCTTCATAGTCCTATTTACTAAGTATCAAGTAAAGGAACAGTCAGAGCGCAGTGGATATTGGCGACGACTCATTCTACCCTCCATTAAAATATACTGCACATATCTTCCTAGAGGCCGTGTTCTGATAAGACACGCCATATGTGCTCCCCTACGTCGTTATATAGATTCAAGCTTGACTCACAGTTGACAAGGGATGCTGTCCCACCGACCCTGACTAATGTTGACAGATAGTTCTTCTCCTCCCGCCGTAGATCCCACTATCTATTCAGGTCCTATGAACCCAAATTATGACCGCCCAGTGTTTTGAGCTTTCAATTCGCCGCCCGCCGAGTCAACACCTTCTGTAATGGTGTGTAACTGGACCTGGGAGTATCCCTACAGCCTCGCGAACCTGACAGAGAACTACGGCCCTTCCCGCAGATGTCAGGCACGGAAAGTCCTTCCAGAATGCAAGAATTACAACCTAGATCCTTGCTACCCAGGGACAGAGTTCAAGCTAAGAAAAGTCACATCATGGGTTCATTACTCTTACTTGGCGATCATGTTGGAAGCGATTCATACTATTCAACATCCAGTGAGAAATTCACATGAGAACGCGCGGAACGGCAATGGCAAAATCCATGAGTATTTCTTGGCAAGATTCACATGTATCTTATTCAAGAAGGAAGAAAAGACGGGAAAAAATGTATATAACCAACTACTGGAAGCCACATGATGAGCCAGTATCTCTAAGCCATTTCTTTTTCTCTTCCTAGACGTTTTGAATTCCCTCACGACTCTCTCATAGAAGAAAGAGAAAACTCACCAAGATGAAAGCTACAGTACTTGTCTGTTTCCTCCTGGGCCTCTGTGCCGCCGCCCCCGTCAACGATCGCCGTCAAGATACATCAGATGCCACATTCTTGACTGTTTCAGCCGACAATGTAGTTGCTCGAGACTATCCAAAGCCAACTACGACCACGCAGACTCGTACGTATTGTCCTATTTCAGATTCACCTGACTTAGCTGCAGAAGAAATAACCATAACTCAATAGACCCTCATCACACCTCTCACCAATCCCATCACGGATCTCACCATCCCACAGGAGGCTATTATCCAAAGGCACCACACTCAACAGGAGGCTCCTACCCAAGGGGACATCCAGGGGCACCATTCCCAACAGGTAAGCCAGATAGCAACATCAATAACACAAAATCAACAAGACAGGACGTTAACGATGCTACCAACACAGAATACCACCACCCTCATTCTCACTACCCTCACCCTTCCAACTCTTATCCTCATCCTTCCTATAACCCAACTGGCGGGGTTTTCCCACGGGCAGCAAACCCCTTCCCAACAGCACCACCGCAAGGAGAGCCAGAGCCAGGCACACGAACTCGCCCGGATAACTTCCCGCACCCGACTTTCCCATCGCACTCAGGACGTAAGTTGACACTGCTTGTTTCTCCCGTCTAAACCTTCCGCTTTACCATTTAGGATTTGGTCGTGCCGAAGAGAGAGAAACCAGATAATTAACAAAAAGGATAACAGGGCCTATCCAACCCACTAGTATCGGCCATCCACCGGGACCGGGTCACTTCCCTTTTTAAGTGTGAGAGAGAGAGAGAAGTGGAGATGTCTAGAGTGACGACTTGAGAGCAGCAAAGAGAAACGAGGTCACGTCATGTTTGACAGACATGACGAAAGTTATCTAGATGCCTGATTTCTATGCGTCCACTGCTGTATGGCGCAAGACCGCGATAGACAAGAGGGGCCACATACATATATGTTAAGAAAGCATTCGGGTCCTCACATAGAGATGAGTAAGGAAAGGAGGAGGGGGAGGGAGAGAGATAGACGCGTGCATGTAAGGAGAGAGGAGGACGCCGAAGAAGTACAGGTATACATACATATACATATACATTACTTGTCTCTATACACATCAAGAAAGATCTGTGAGCATGAGTAGTCGGTGAATTGAACCAGGTCAAGTCTATACAGTCTCATCAAAGATTTAAACTTGCTAATGTCATGAGATCTCACGCTTTACCATTTCGCTTTGGTCAGAGGAACTTCAAAGCCGATGACTTTCGAATACAAGGGTGCCATCATCCTTTCTACTCAGAGACCATATATCACTCCCTTTCCCACTAGAAGATCGAATGCTCTGTTAGGTGCCATCTAAGCATAATGAGTTTCACTTACTTCAACTTGGAAACAAATCCCATATTCAAACTCCTCCACACCATCCATCGTCAGCCAAGGACAAAAAACCGTTGACTAGCAGGTCTGTGTAGCGCAACCTTAAACACACAAACACGTACAAGCTGACACAGGCCACCTCTTGCCTAACTACCTCCTGCTATATATCTCAGAAATATCGGGAGAAAATACAACAAACCAAATCGTCTCGTGGGGTAGTGGTCATCCTTGCGTTCGCCACGCGCTATAATCCGCAGACGCTGGTTCGATTCCAGACGAGGCTATCTATTTTATTCCCCCCCTCCAACAAATCCTCTTTTTTTGATTAACAAACCTTACACACACCTGCACAAGCCACCTCTGACCCAACTACCTACTATAGATTTCAAATTTACCAGCAGGAAAATCCAACAGACCCATCTGAAAACGCCTCGTGGGGTAGTGGTCATCCTTGCGCATGAGTCATCTAGAAGCCGCAGACTCTGGTTCGATTCCAGACGAGGCCGATCCTTTTTTCTGTCTTTCTTTTTCTTTTTTTCCCTCTTCTTTATATCTCTTCCGAAGCTGCCAATCTCACTTATATGGTTATTGTTCTCCAAGTTGACTAATTCAGTTCACTACCTCCTCTGTATTGATCTTCATTGGTTAGACATGCTCTCAAGAGGGTGTCTAGCAGTCGAATCATGTTTTGATTACTCGATATCATATTTGAGAGATCTAACCTTAGGCTCATCTTCCATGAGCAAGGAACACACTGAACTTGGTTTCTAAACTTCCTTCTAACAATGTGAAGTCTATGGCTACCTGGAGGAGTTCTGTGCATACCCCTTTCAACAACATGACCAAATGATTTAACCAAATAAAAATCTCATCCAATCTTCAAAGTCCGGTCTGCTGAGAAGTATCCTCGGATACCTAGTTAAGTCAGGGAAGGCTTGATAGGCAACCGTTAAGTCAGTAATCACACCTAGTAACATCTTCACACTAGCATTCAACTTCAACACCAAATCTCACATCACAACACACATTTGTTTGTATCCCCGTAAACAATGACATTTTGATTTCAGAACTCCCTTTTGACACATTCGCAATGCTGAATCAAGTACATCAACAACAGTATCTGCCAGTAACGCCCGAGTGGGAAAGACAATTGATTGCTACTGTCTTGTCCGATGCCAGCCAGCCCTATAACTTTATCCCCTCTCAAACAATGCCAATCTGCACAAATACCACTTACTGCTAACGGCAGACTATCCCTATTTATTATTGGCCGCCTTGTTCTCTTCCAATACTTTAGCGAGCTCTGCAGCAAATTCGGGCTTCTTCACCTGAAGAACCCAGGTCTCAAGACCTGATCCATCATCGCTTGCCGCCGCGAAGTTGACCGTCTTATCCTTGACCTTGTACTCTGCGTTGGGGAGGATTGTCTTGTTGATGGCGACATGCCCTCTCGGTTCCGCGCGCAACAATATCCGCACCGCCCCTGTTGTCTTGTTCTTGAGTATACGGAGTGGACCGACTCCGCGAGTAGACCACGGCGACTTGTTCTTCTCGTCTGGGTCATCCTTGTTCACAGGTATAAACTTGATAGCCTTTGCCCGAACTTCATAAACCAATGTCTCGTCCTCCTCGCCAGGTCCACCTTCCGTGAGAGAGATTTGTTCTTGTGTTGCCTCTGCGTCTTCATCGTTGGCGGTTTGTGGTTCAGGAGTGCCGTTCACTGGTGTCGTCCCTATGCTAGATGGAGCAGGAAAGGGTGAACCTATGATTTGATAAGTGTCCGCTTGTCTAAACAAAGGAGTAGTTAATGTCTTACCAGCAGTTACCGGACCCAAAGAACCACCTTGGAACGAACTGAAAATGCTTGGTGGCGCCGACGATTTGGCAGGGGCCGGGCTTTGACCAGGCGTGGCTGACGTGAAACTGAAGCTTGGGCCATTATTAGTGTTGCCAACCCCCCCGAAGGTGCCGGTTCCTTGCGTTGGTGGCTGAGCTGAAGGAGTAGAAGGAGGTTGTTGCCCAAAGCTGAAGTTAAAACTAGATGATGGAGTGGTGGTGGACGATATACCGCCGAATGATGGCGCCGAAGGCTGTGTGTTAGGTTGCGAAGATGTGAAAGGGTTGTTCACCGACTGACTTCCTCCTCCACCCGCGCTGAAGGTGAAACCACCAATATTTGATGATGAATCTTGCCCAAAAGTAAAGGAAGGTGTGCTTGCACCAGAGCCGAATGAGAAATCAATCTTCGGAGCCGCATTCCCATTTGTTTGTGAGTTGGATGCACCGAAGGAAACGGCCGGGCTGGCGGTAGGGGTTGCGCCAAGCGTAGCTGATGAGGCCTGGGTGTTGGTGGGTTGAGATCCGAAACTGAATATCGGACCACCGTTAGATTGGTTGCTACCAAAAATGCTCGGTGCAGCCTTTGTGGTTTCTTCAGGTTTCTTGACTCCAAAAATACTACTTGCCGCAGGTTTCGCGGGCTCCTCGGTCTTCTTCGTGCCAAAAATACTGGTCGCCTCAGGCTTCGCAGGCTCCTCAGGCTTCTTAGCGCCAAAGAGAACTGCGTCTCCCTTGCCGATTTCCAGTGGCTTTTCTGCAAAGGTTGAAGGCTTCGATGTAAAGATCGATGAGTTCGTGGTCTCCTTCTCTTTAGGTTTGTCTGATCCAGTCTGCCCGAATATTGAGATAGCAGATTGGTGTGTTTCTTCTTGACCATTGGTCGAGGCAGGCTTCGTAGAGGGCTCGGGGGTAGCTTTGGCACTTGAGAATAATGGATTCGTGCCACGGCTCCAGAAGTTGTCGCCGGCTTCGGCAATCTTCGGTGGAGGCTGTGCAGCATTCTGCGCAATGAAGGATTTGTCAAATATGCTCGGCGGCCCTTTACTTGTAGGTGCAGGTGTAGTAGAAGCCTCTTTGCTGGGTGCCGCAGCAAAGAGCGGTTTTTGCTCTGCTGGGGCTGGGGTCTTGGCTGCTGGCTTATCAAAAATGCTAACTGCTTGTTTCTTATTGGGCACGGAGCTTGAGCCATCGGCCTTTTCTTGAGGTTTGAACAGCGATGATGCTGCTGCCGGAGTAGTCGCAGTCTTAGCAAAGATGCTAGGGGTCGAAGGGGCCTGAGTCGCGAGAATGGAAGTTGAAGCACTAGTTGCCTTCGGTTTGGAAACTTCAGATGATCCAAACATGGATGACGCTGGCTTAGAACCAGTGGTCGATCCGAAAAGCGAAGTAGATTTTTCAGGCGCAAGTGACTTGGTTTTGGCAGGCTCGGCGGCTTTAGGCGCAGCAACAGAGCTGGATAGATCAGATGTCGGTTGCCCAAATGAAATCGGGGTTGTCGCTGGGTTAAAGGTGAAGTCACCAGGCGCCTTAGCTGGGGTCTGACTCTGCACCTCTTTGGGGGCAGAAGATGCCATAGCACCTCCTGTCGGCTTGTCCTCTGGAGTAGGCGTTGCCCGAAGTGGCTGTCCATTAGAGCCCATTTGGACGCGCCCAAACAGACCACCCTTCGAAGATGGCTCGGCGGACTTCGATGAAGCACCAAACATATTGGCCGGCGCGGATGTCTTCGCGGGAGCAAAGAGCGAACCAGTCTGGACTGGTGGGGTGCTTGTGCCGGTACTAGCGGCGGCGCTGGGCTCTTGCTCTTCTGAGTCGCGCTCTTGATCAGATTCAGAATCGTCCCCTTCGTCCGCATCGTCCGCATTGCCATTCTCGTTGCCGCTGCTATTGGCCGAGCTTTCTGACAGATAGCTAAAAATGTTACTAGCGGTAGTAGAAGGTGCTGAGCCAATCTTGTGGCTTGATAGGACTGATCCAGATGAGGCACCTGTCGCCTTTCCAGAGCCGAACAACACGCTCGAATTCGCTGGTTGGAACGGGTTAGGTTTCGAGTTTTCTGAGACGCCGAACAGAGTAGAGGGTCGTGATGATTGTTTCAAGGGTGTGGCGGACTTTTGCGCGTTGTTGAGGATACTCTCGAACTTGGACGTTGCAGCTGAGGCTGGCTTTTTAACAGGTTGGTTCTCTTCCGGCTCTTCTGAAGCTTTACGCTTACTCGTCTTGAAGGGAGCTGGTCCTTTCAAGGCAGGATTGTCAGACTGTGATGTGAGGGTACGTCGCTTATTCTGGTTGGTAGATGAAGCCATCAGAACGTTGTCTTTGGGCGCCAGGTCGTCTTCAGCTTTGCGCTTCGTCGAACCGCTACCGGCTTGATGGCTCGGGCGGCTCTCTTCTGGTTCCGGATCTGGAAGACCATGGGCGGCTCTCCATTTCTTCAGGACCTCTTCTGACGGTTTGACATTCTTGAACTCGTACAACCCGTAGCGTAGCATGATCATACCCCGGCTCTTCTCATACTCTTTCGCGAAGTTGAGGATATTCAGCTTCCAATCCTTCTTGGCAAAGATCTCATTGGCGGCGTACTTGAGGCGTCGCAGATCAAGGATGCAAAAGAACTGGCGTCGCTGGAGGTCGTCGAAATGGGGTGGGCACTTATGGGCAAGGAACTGATCGGTGTAGACAGTACCGGTACGGGTTGGGTCGTCAGGGATCTCCTTGCTTATAGCTTCGCCGGTGAGCTCTGGATCTGGAGAAGGTATTCTCATCTTGAAAGGCTCGGTAGAGGCGGTGTTGGACATGCCAGTAGAGACACTCTTCCTCGGGGCAAACTTGCGAACACTGGCATTGGGGCGCAAAACCTCGGCAGGAAGGTCGGGAGAGAAGGTTCGGGTACGCGTGCTCTGGGGGGTAGAGGTGCGGAAGAGGTCGCGGGAGCTTGTGGAGGTCTTGGAGAGCTTGGTGGAAGGGTTGAGGGAACGCGCGGGCGATGGTCTACTCGTAGGGACGAGAGAAGATCGGAATCTATTCGCAGACGAGGCGGATCGGAAAGGTGTTGATCCCTGCTGGCCCGGTGGTGGGCGAGACTTGTAAGGAGTACTGGTGAAATTCATGGTGGACTGTGATAGAAGGTAGAGGATAGATGATGGTTGGGATTAGGGAATGCGACGAGGTAATGCTCGGAAGTGGACAACGCGTATGGAATGAATAGTAGAAAGACGTATTTAGAGAAGGAATGGATGGAATCGAAATGGACAGGAGAAGGATGTGACAGTGCCCAAAAGGCAACACAATGCCTTTTAATCGAGATGGATCCTCCTACTGGATGCCTGCCTGATCAAGTCAAGAACAGGTGCAGTACTCAAGGAAGAAAGAGGCGATGCGAAAGAGAAAAAAAGGCGTCGCGATATGAGAAGATGAAGGAGATCCGAAAAAGAAAAGGGTGTTGAGTGCTTGACAGCTGACCACGCTGCTTTGATGGATCGGCGCGTACCTGATCGAAGGACGGCACTTCAATGAGGTGGCAGCAGAAAAAAAAACATTGGGTGAGGAAGAGCGTGGCGGATCGACACACAATGAACAGCGTCAGGGTTCACTGGCAAATACAGGGGCCTCACGTCCTGAAAATCAGGGCCATTGCACTTGTTCCTATCCAATCAATTCCTTTACG